CACACAAGGTGCACGGAGGTGATGGACGGCGTTCAAGGTGAAAGCAGGAACGGAGCTGACCGTGGGACACCCTGCAGGCCTCCCCACTCAGCAACTGCCCTATCAAAAAGTCAACAGGAAAACAAATGGCTGACTCAAAATGCTTATGCTTCCTTAAATATATTTTCATGGGTGAGGCTATTTATTGTAGGCACTGCATTAATGCAACCAAATGAGTGAATAAAGAGCAATGCAGAAAATCAAGCTGCGAAACCAGCTGTTTCTGCATTGGTCCTTGCTGGGAAACTTCGGGTTCCCAGCAAGCTGACTGCTCCTCTCTGTCCCTTCCAGCCATACAGGAAACCCACTCATACAGTTTCAGACACTTCGTCACATCCCAAACCAGTTAAAACTACTTTCGGTTAAAGGAGCTGAACATCAAATAACTCTTCTTAACATTTCAAATGATGCTTTTGTTACCAGGAGACCTACTACCCTCCTCTTTTCAGATAGAAGAGGGACATCCCAACTTCGGGAGGATATTTTATTTATGAGCCTGTCCTCAAGTGGCAATCAAATTAAGTGATTAATTAGGCTAGCAGCTGAAAGAAACTTGGCTGCGATCACTTTCTCAGCATTGAAGTTTTCTTTTTGCTTGCTGTCTTCAGCACCTCCTGCATGAGTAACTTGGGCTTTGAGTGTGCCAGGGCACTCCTGCCAGTTGTGGATTTGTGCTGGTGTATTCTGCTGACATTCTCTCTAGCAGACTTTACAGTCTCCTGAACAGGCTCCTGAACCCCCAAGTCTCTCTCTCATGTCATTCATTCACTCACCCTGTCTTCCTGTTCCTCTTCTCTTAGCCTGCTCCACAATTTCTTCCATTCTCTTATTTTCCTGTGGGTTTATTCACACTGGGAATTTTTGCACTAATTTGGTTGCACACATTTATCTGCAGCGTTACAAACCTCTCACATCGCTGTGTAAGAAGGGACAAGAGCTCCCAGCCAGCAGCAGGTGTGAGGGAATGCCCCAACATTGGGACAGCCTAGTTTGCTGGCTCACCCCACGACACAGCAGTGCCGAGCACACACACGTCCTTACGGCAGCCACACGTCTCTGCCCCCACCTCCCTGAGCTCTGTGCCTCTCTACCCTGATTAAAGTTGTATTAGACATGTGAAAGGAGCTACAAAGAACAGGTTTTATACATTCTGTTGAGGTCAACTGAGTTCTCCCATCCATTTCAGTGAATTCAAGATGCTGATGCAGAACTTGAAGCTCTCTGGACCTGACTTTTCTACTGGATTGTGTGCAGACACCTCTGTCTGCACACAGACACTGAATTCTGCAAAGTGGAACAGCAGCTATTCGTCCCCACTCTGCAGAAATAGGAATAGCTACGTAAGGAAGCAAGGCAATGAAAAACCAAGCATCACTCAGCCAGCTGCCTCAAGAATCACAAGAAGAGCTGTGGCGTCTGTCAGATCTCAGCCTCTTGAGCTCCAACACGACCACCAGTTGGAAGCTGAGCAGTAGAACTCCTCCTCCCAGCTCCAGCTGAAGGACACCAGCCCCACAGCAGCTGGTGGCATGAGGCTCTGCTGATCCCAGCAGGCACTGGATGGAGGCCCCAGGGAACATCCCCTGCACCAGGATGCTACTACCCATCACAGAGCTTCTTCAGCATCTTATCACCATGGTATCTGAAGTACTGTGGGTACTGGGAAAGGCCAGCTTGCACAGCATCCAAAATTAATATCCTCCCATAACACTATTTTCATCATGTCTTTTTTGTATCCTTCACCTTTTTCTTCCCTTCTCCCTTTAGTCTTTTACCTCCCAAATCGTTGCAGCCATCCATCTGATGGACACAGCTACCAGCAGAAGGGAAAGTGCTCTTAGATGTCGCTGCATAATAAAAGCACTGCTCTCAGAAACACTGGCCCCCAAGTGCCCCTTCTCATAATAAACACCGCAGGAAGGGCACAGATCTGCTCAGGACCCAGGCTCTGTGCAATGAGATTTCTCCATGAAGTGCCTGACCCAGGCTTGGGACCTCATCTTCTCCATCTCCCTGCAGAGAAGGCAGGGACACCCACTGGGTGCCCATGGCAGCAGCACGGAGGAGCACCTCACACCAGCCAGCAGAAACATCTGCTAATTCATCATTAACCTATAAAGCGCACACACACAGCCACACTCACATTGCTCTCATATTGGTAGGCAGCTTTCTGCAGTCATCTCTGACACTCAGAGGCCTGATTTTCACTTGATACGGTTTTATAAAAACAGATTTGAAACGAATTTATTGCCAGAGGATATTTAAATTCGTTGAATTTTAATCCAACAGATAATATAAATACCAGCTTCAGCAGCAGTGATTTCCACATCTAATCCAAACTTGTAACGTGCCTCATAACAAGAAGCATTTTGTAACTGACAGATAAGGAAATGCAAAGATACTAAAGAAATGAAAACAGTAAAAGAGCATAAGCACAAAGGATGCAGCGTGCCCATACCTCCATAAATCACCTTGTAAGTGAAGCAGCTTCATAACTGGAAAGTTAACTTATACTGCTCGGATTGAGGGTAACTACATCAGACCATGGCTGTTAGATCAGTGGGCAGAGCCCATGGACACTGGAGCCCCAGAGTAGCTGCCCATCTTCTGGGCTTCAGTTGCACTTGGCTTGCACCACCAACACACAATTCAAGAGATTTGCAGACAAAAGCCTCTACAACTGGAAATTTGGTACAGTGCATTATTTTTAAGCTTAGTTCCTTGCATTATTGAGCTGGCGACAGCTGTCAGACAAGTTGGGTACAAGAAAGCTGTGACTTACATGAAGGTTTTTCCCTACAAAGTAAACAAGTGCATAGTGCGACCTCAAACAACAGTTTGGCCCAGAGATATGGTTTGCATGGACACAACAGGCACTGTTGTGCCTGGTTTTGCTCATACACTTTTTGTTTCAACATCTGTTGGCTTCCAGCCTTCATTGGTTTTGAGCACGTGAATGACTTTTGTAAAACTTGACACTACCTTGCTGCCTACTAAGCTGAACTAAAACAACAGTTTAAATAGCTCAGCTCACAGCTAATAAGCAATTTAAATAGCTTTGCTGAGCTCGAGTGGCTCTATCGGGTTTCATAGCACCATCCATCACTGCCAAATCCATAGGAAGCACTTAAATGAATCATTAGCAACAGTCACCCCCAAAGGAAGAAAACAGAAATAGAAAATAAATAATAATAACATATTTTCAGTGCTGGGAGTCAAGTTGTTGCCACAATTCCCATGGGAATCTGCCCCACGTGTGACACCAAATTGAGCCCAGGAAGCAAATCCTGTGGAATCGCTGGGACAAAAATCTGCTCTTCCAAATCAGGCTGAACTTTGCACTGCCCCACACAGCACAGTATGGGGCTGGATGAGCACAGAGGAGCCCATTCCACAGAAGACAAGGCTGCGACACACACAGGCAGAGATGGAGATGGCTCCTGGCCAGGTGTACCAAGCTCTCCTACCAAGACTTGAAGTTCTCTGTGCCAGAAAGGTGAATAGCAAGGTAATGACGTGAGACACCTCCAACACATCCATGCAAAAACCACTCAGTACAGAGCGTACTGGTGCGCGCAGCCCATGCTGCAGCCCTGGGAATGGTGTCAGGAGCATGAGCTCCCTATCAGACCAACAGGAACCAACTGAAGCCACACACATTGAATCAGGTACCAAACTGGACTGGAGAGCGCAGCCCAACCTGCACCCTGGGCACCGCAGGGCCCTTCTTGGGGCAGCACAGCACCAAGCAGGGCTGGGAGCGCTGCCTTCATCCCCTGGCTGCACTTCCCAGCTGAGCTCACCCAGCAGCACAGAGAGCAGATAAAAACAGCACAGCAGACACCTGCCCTTAGAGAAACACAGGTGCAGGGGCACTGGTGGGCTTCCCTCAGCCAGGTGTTGCAGCCCAGCCTGAATTCAGCAGGGCTGCACTGCTCCAGCAGCAAGCATGTTGTGATGCTGCTTTCTAGGACCCCAAGGGTATTTTATTTAATTCTAGTGGAACTTTACACGCTGAAGAAGCAGATGAGCCCCTTGTCATCCTGCAATGAAACATCAGGAGACATCCACTTGGATCTTATTTCTCCCCTCTGCCTCTGGGTTTGTATTCAGTGCTGCCGAGTATCAAATTCAGGCATACGCATGGCATTTTAATTCATTATTTATCCATATTGTCTCAAATTATAGCACTCTGATGGCAATACACCAATCCAGAGGGGGAGCTTGCACAACTGGAAGCAGCACAAGGATGCCCAGAGCCTGGGGAGCAGCACCCAGCCACGGGGTGGGGGGGGAGAAAAAGGTGTACGAGAGCCTAATGGCACCAAACTAAAGCAAACTGCGCATGGAAGCTTGGAATCCCCCGAAACGGTTTTGATCCTGAGGCTCTCCAAGCATTAGGCTGAAACCTAAGGAACCACGTTCACCTCCGCTCCGATGTTCAGCTCACACACCGCTCGAACGCCAGCACTCGGCTTTTGTCCTCGCGTTAAAGTTAGAGGATAGGAGAAAGGTACGAATGCTTTGGGGGAAACTCAAGATGAATTCTGCGAGAGATCACCACACGCGAGCAGAGATTAGAAATAAAAGGACGGAGGACATCTGCACGGATTCCCGAACGCCCGACACAGTTCGGGCAAGTTTCGGCCACGTCTCCCGCAACCGGAGCAGGGCACGGGCAGCTGCCGGCGGCACAGCGCAGCCCGGGGCTGAGCGCTGCCCAACGGACCCCCGCCCGCTCCCCGCCGGGAATTCCCGGCGCTGCCCGCCGTCCCGGTGGGTCCGCACCGCCGGCCCCTCACGCCGGGGGTTTTGCTCCAGCTCGCTCCGCCGGCGCGGCTCGGCTGGGAGCTCCCGCCGCGGGTAAATAATTAATTGCGCTACAAAACGGCGGCACCGGGAGCGACCGCAGGGCACTCCGGCACCTGCGGCGGGGCCGGGCCGGGGCTCGGCGGACTCACCCCATGTCTCGGCACCTCTCGGAGGCGGCGGCCCCCCCGGGCGGCTCCCCGCGTTCGGCGGCCAGCGGCGGCCGGGTTCCCACTTCGCACATGCGGCCGCTCGGCTCCCGGCTGCGGCTGCCCGGCGGCACGGCGAGGCGTCCTGCTCCTCCTCCCGCTGCCGCCTCCCTTCCCCCTTACATAACCTCCCTCCCGGGCGGCGGCGGCACCGAGCAGCCTCCCGCGGCACCCGCCGCCCCGCCAGGCGGCAGCGCGGGGGCGGTGGGGCGGAGCGGGGCGGAGCGGCGGGCGCGCCCCCGGGGTCCCTCCGCTCCCCGCCCCCGGCTCGGGCAGGAACCGAGCTGCCGGGTGGGGGTGTCCGGCAGAGGTGGAAAGCCCGGAGGGATGGGGCGGCCCGTATCTCCGGCTCCTGCCGCGCGCCTCGGAGCTGCCGGGGCCAAAACTTCGGGGGAAGTTGTGTGGGTGGCTGCCGAGCGGCCCCGCGCACCGGGACCGCTGCTCCGTCACCGCGAGACTGAGAACGGCGTGGGGCCGTGAGCCGACCGGATCCGGCTGCGATCCGAGAGCCCGGAGAGCCCTCCGGCCCCGACCCCAAGGGTGTCCCGTGAAACGCAAGCCGGAGATTTCCTGGCTCAGAAGGGAGCCGGCTCTGCCCGCGTCTTTTCGCGCTTCTGTTTTCCCAGGGAAACGACCAAATCCCGGCATTCTGCCATGGGTCCCAGGGAGCTCTGGAACCATCGGGCAGCTTCAGCCCCTGGCAGGCCGAAACCCCCCGGCCCCGCCAGCACTGTACCCGCCAGCCCCGGGCACAGCCTGCAGCAGAGGGACGAGCGGCAGCTTTGAGCCCTCGCAGCAGCCCTGCAAAGCAGTGCCACACACGGTGGCCACGCGTTACTTCCCTCTAGGTTCCGTGAAAATAAAGAGGGATGTTTCCTTACTGCTGAAGGCAAAATCGCCCTGAGGTGGAAGAGCCGCGTTGCGCTGCCGTGGCAGTGCTGCTGCCCTCCCAGTCCCAGGACGAGGATCCATACAAAGCCGTGGCCCTGCTGCTGGCAGAGCGGGCACGGTTGTTCCCTGGGAGAAGGCACCCAGTCCACAGAGAGGATTTTAGCTTCTCCCACACAAAGCTATAATTAATACCTTGCCAGCAAGATGATTATTTTTGTCTTTTCTTATTATCTCTTGTCAATTCATCCGTTCCTTCATGGAAAGTTTTGAAGTTGTTGGAAAGGCTTTATGGCTGCTTGCTTAACCCCTTCTGCAGTGACACCAACGCAGACCATCACCCTAACAGACAGCTTTTTCTTGATGTCTGGAAAGCCAAAATGGAATTGCAATCCCACATACTAAAAAAATAAACAAACAAAAACACAAAAACAAACAAAAAACACAACCACATTTCTTCAGAAATTCCTTCCATTGCTCCATAAGGATGAGATATTCTCCTTTATGAAGTGTGGCACACTGTGGTCTCCTGGCCAGTGCCAAACAGGCTGAAGTTCTGTCCCTAGCTGAAGTCAGTAGCAAAGCCCCAGGGATGGGGAAAGGCTGAGGATTGTGCAAACCACTTGTTGCCATCAGCACTGCATGAAGCCAACGCCCTATGGACGACTCCATCTTAACTCCTCTGCTGCTATAAGGAGTCCTAAGTTGTGCATCATTCCCATTGATTCACACTGTTTGGTATAATATAGTTTGCCATTTCCTTGAGGTATTCTGAGATCTCTGCAAATGAGAACTATAAATATGCTTTTAAAGTGAATCAGTTCTTCAGCTTCCGTCTGTGACAGAATCTGTCACTTCTGACCCAGCTCCAGCAGAGGATGGTGGTGATTCCCTCCTTTGGTATTCACGTGTGTGAATATTACAGGGCTGTGGTATGGGGAGACCCGAAGTACAGAGGGCGCAGATCCCCTGCACAGCTCACGCTGAGCACCAAGCGCAGCCCCATTCTGCAAGTGGATGTAAGTCCTTCAGATGAGACATTCCTCCTCTTCCCATGGGCCTCCTAAAGGCACCATGTCTGTCTGCAGGATGCAGAAGGAACAGCCCCTTCAGAAAGCCACTCCATGTGCATACAATGCAGCCTGTGGAGCACACAGCTCACCACTCTCTTCCTCTCTTTCAGCATTTCTGTGCTCTCCTTCAGTCTCACTCTCACTGCTGTCATCTTTTGCCACCCTCCTTTATTTCATATATCACCGTATTTCAGAGCAGCAGCCGTTTTGAACGATTATACTCCAAGGCATTCTCCTTATTTCCCATGGCAGTATTAAATAAAATACTCAATACTGTGATTCTTCCCCCCCCCCCCCGTTTAATTTCCAACGAGACCAATGAAATCTATATTTCTTTTTTTACCATAACAGAGCCATGCCGTTTTCCTTTCTTTTTTTCCTTCTTCCCCTTTGACAAATAACCAGCTTGAAACGTTATCCAGAAGTTTAACCAAAAAAAGCTGCCAGGAATTCTTGATTTTTACATTTCAAGTAGAGAATCAGCTTTGAAAATCCCCTGACAGCTGGAAAATTAATGTAATTATAATATCACTGGATATAAAATTTCAAAGACAAGCAACTGTGAAGGGAAAGCATTTTAAGACAGACTGCTGAAAATGCTCAGATTTATGATTTTTGTTGTTAAACTCCACTTTATCGAATATCTAATAAACAATTTGGACAAATAATCTATCTGGTTTAAAAAGAACCCAACCCAATGCTCTTGTCCTTTCAGTTGCAATGAATGTGAAACCTTCAACCAGTCCCACGGCAGGGCAGAAAAGCCCCACAGCTGACACCCATCTGATTCCTAAGGCAAAATCTGCTTTCCTCTCCACTCTCCAAAACGAACCTAAATGATCCCAGAGCAGTCAGTGAGGACTCTCTTCTGTGTCTTTAAAAGTGACAAGAGGCCGCTTTTAAAACCATTTTGTCAATCATCTATAAAAGAATAGGCTGAACATTCTCTTATTATTCTTTGCAATTGATTCTTACATCTATAAGAAGTTGGTGCCAGGAAGCTTGTACCTAAGCTTAGTAATAGAGAGAGTACAAGTGGTTTCTATCTAACATTCAAAAGGTTGTCCTGTAGAACACGCAAATATCAGCCCCTCGCAGTAACACGCAACGCTCCCAGCTGATATGTTGGATCCTGAATTGCTCCCCAGCACTTCCCAAATGTGTTCAGTTTTTCCTCCCAACATGCAGCTCTTTGCACTTCAAAAGTTGCGTTAGAAGTTATTTGTTTTTTTCCCTTGATGTTTATTTCGGTTATTTTCTTTTCAAAACCAGAAGAGAAGGAAAAAAAAAACCAATTTCATTTGGAAGCAGAGATGAGGACTTTGGTTTCCTTTCAGACCAACGTAATGAAAGTCCACTCATTTGTAATTTATAAAATGGAAGTGAGAGAAATCAGGAACCAAATATACAGATGGAGTAAATTCATTTTCCTCTTAAATTAATTCAGATCCAGAGTTTTGGTCATGGAAGGCCAAAAGTCTGTGTGAGAGATAAGAGAAGGAAAAACCTGCATGTATTGCCTGTTAGAAACAGGACCTTCCCGATCAGCTTGGCTGATTGATGATGGTGATGGCTAAGGCTGCCAGTAGAGAAGCAGACAATGCAGAAAGGAAAATATATTCATATTTTTGGTGAAATAAGCTTATTTTTCAAACGTGCAGACTTGCAGGACCATTCATCTCAGCAAGTCATTTTGCTCACATGTAAATTTCCTTGTAGCTCAGGAGTTTTTAATTCTCAGGCCCTTTTTCACCATCTGTAACTCAATCTCTGTTTTTTAAAGAAATTGCAGACATCTGTTTAAATACCCATCTCTTCCATCACATGGAATTTTAGATTAAAAAATCTAAGCTCAAAAATAATACCATGGTTAGATTCCATTTCCAAGCAACCAGGGGCTGGCATTCTAAAGCTGCCTTTTTAATTAGCCCGTTCCACCTCCTTGGCTGCGCTGGGCTCTGCGGAGCACAGAGTTGTGGCTGGTGATTGGGGCGAGAAGGGGGACAAGAGGCCGGGGGATGCACTGATCCATGTGGTTTCCCACTGCCTGTCCTTCCCTCTGCCCTTCACCCAAAAGGATCCACCGTCTTCTCTGTCTCAGAAAACCGCTGTTCCTGTCTCCTGTTCTGTGTCAGAAAGGACAGAGGAAGAGAGGCTGGGGCTGGACCAGACCTTTCAGAGCATTTTAATTCTCCAGAACCATTGGAGAAGCCTTAGCTGCTTGCAGGAGTTCATACTTAGTTTGGTCTGAAATACCTCACTCTTTGTATTTCTTTAGAACTCATTCATTAAATGGTTTTGCCCCTTAGCTATCTCCTTGCTTGTCTTACCAAGAAAGCTAGACTTTTCCACGGGTACACTGCGTATCTGATCCATTTCCACAAAAGCCCCATGCCTTGATAAAGGCTGATACATTTCCTGGTGGGCAGGAATAGCCAGATCTCTCTCCTGTATGAGTTACCCAAAGGGCTGAGCAGCACAAAGGCCATGTGGAATGAAGCCACGTGGGCTTTCAATCTTATTTACAAAAACTGATGGTTGAGGACTATTGGTGTGAACCCCCACCTCTCCCAGAAGCTCATTAGGACACACACAGTACTTCCACATAAGATTCCCCTCTTCCAGCTGGGGAAACCATCTTGACTTCAGGGAAGCCAAACCTGGTTCAGAGAGATGAAAGACATGAGATATTTGGGCACACAGCTCCCGCAAACAAAGACACCAGGTACATTTTGATGAGGAAATGCCATTTAAAATAGTCCATTAGGTGGTAACCTGGGCTGTATGTTTGGGTTCTGGAGCCAAGGAGATGACAGCAGGCACACAGTTATGGAATTCAGCCTCACTCCACAGGGCTGGTGGAAGGCAGATCAGAACAGCTCCAGAAAAGCTTGGAGCTGGGCACTTCAGATGTGGTGTTCTAAATTCATCCATAGCCAGTGGAGAAGTGTTAATACACACACATCAAAACTGTTTCTGCATACATGAGAAAATGAAATCTAGTCAATACTGTGAGGTCTGGATGACACACATCCACTATTTTTCATTTACTGTTCAT